GAGCAAGTTTTATCGGAATTACAGAGAATTTCTTCACTAAAAGAAGCTCTGGAGGCTTTTCTCAGAGGAAAAGATGTTTTTGCTCTTCTCCCGACTGGTTTCGGCAAGAGTTTGATCTATCAATTGGCTCCTCTTGGTCGTCGCTCTGTTAGTACGTCATATGCTTCGTTGATCTGATTGGTTTATTTGGCCCGTCTATCACCAACATAGGCCAATCAGCTAACCAGTATTTTCGCCCCTTCCCAACATTACTTCAACCGAAGGTTTCCAGATGGATATGCGGAGCAAATCCATCTGGCGGAGTCAGGTTAACCTGGAATAGCGTCATCAGGGGCAATCACCAGCACATCTGTTTTATCTGAGTTTAGTTGCAGGGAATTTGCACCATGCCATTGTTTGATGTGCAAAAGACAATTCAGCAGAGAGCTGAACTTCTAGATCTCTGAGGACTTAAAAGAGCAGTAAAGCTGAATATCATCAGCAAACAGATGAAAGGAAATATCATCAAATCTGGAATGTTTTTTCCTAATGGAAGGACATCCAGTAAAAACAAAATTGGGCCCAAAACAGAGCCCTGAGGAAGCCCGCACAACATTTCGGCAGAGTCAGACAGGATCTGGTTTGCAGAGACACTAAAGCTCCTACCGGATAAGTAAGAGGAGAACCATGCTAAGACGGGTCCTGACATTCCGACCTGCAGTTGTAATTCCATCATGGCAGATAGCAGGCCTTAGGACTGAATCTGGACGCCACCGTTTTAGAGATTTAATGACAATCCACACGTGAGGAAACAGATATTATTTGTAGTTTATACATTTTTTCTTAAGGCGTTAGTCGTTGACATGTGGCCAAGTTGTTCAGTAGGACTAGTTCTCAAATCAGAGTTGTAGTTTCTCTGTGGTAACACTGTGAGGGACCGAGCCAGCCAAGCATGAGGACACAGTGGTGATTGTCAAGAAAACTGGGTTTTATTTCCCCAAAGTAACAATAATCCAAACAAAAACTTCAGGGCCCTTAAAAGAGGTCAAATGAAGAGACTAACTAAGGGCAAAAAATATCAAGTTCAAACATGAAACCTCAAACTAACTGAACAAACAAAAAACTGACCTGACACACAGCAAACAAAGACCAGACTGACACACTGAGGAAGAGGTAGGGAGAACATCTACACCAATTTAACAAAAAATAACTAAACAGTTAGCTTAAGGATTAAACTTAAATGACAATCATTGAACAAAATTAACAAAATGAGCAAATCACAAAAGTAAGAAG